GGAGCATTGTCTCAACTACAGGAGGAACGGACGAGGATGTCAAATCGAGAATCGGAAAGGCGAGAAACACATTCATCAACCTGAAACCAATCTGGAAATCTTCGTCACTCAGCATCAACAACAAAATTCGGATTTTCAATACAAACGTCAAGTCAGTTCTTCTATTTTCTTTTATTCCTTCACGATCCCAGTGGAACATAGGGCTTCAAGCTAGAGGCTTGAAGTTTCTGTAGCAGAGTTTATTTTTACGGGATGGGGTTGCTGGCCTCATGCCCAACCTTCCCTCTTTACCAGTCTTATTACTGGCTTATCGAGGTAAAGGAGTGCGTCGGCCGGGGATCGAACCCCGGACCATGTGCATAGTCGGTGAGCGTCCTAACCGCTGTGCCACCGACGAACCCAGTTCTTCTATACGGATCAGAAACTTGGCAGGTCACAAAGAATATTTCTAACATGTTGCAGACCTTTATCAACAACTGTCTTCGCTCTATACTGAAGATCAGATGTCCGGAAAGAATCACAAACAAGAAACTATGGGAACAAACAAAACAAGAACCAATCGCCCAACAAATATGCAGGAGAAAGTGGAGATGGATTGGACACTCGCCGAGGAGGCCGCTGGGTGACACCACGCGTCAGGCCATAGCTCGAGTGGAACCCGAAAGGGAAGCGGCGAGTGGGACGTCCAAGGGTGACATGGAGGAGATCGTGTGAAGAGGAGTTGAAACAGTATGGACTAACATGGACGCAGGTGAAAAGTACAGCAGAAGACAGAAACAAGTGGAGACGTGTAGTTGAAGCCCTATGTTCCACTAGGAACCCAAGGGAACAATATAATAATACTATAACGAAGTCTGTAATAATACCTATGTTTCGCAGACAGCAAAACTCACATCGTAGTCAATGATGACGACACAGCAAACGGCTTATTTTCTTACTGCTGATAAAACATAACGAATCATAGACAATATTTAGCTGTTTCATTGTTAATTAGTTTTCAAGTCCAATTTTGTTCCATTCCGTAATTATTTAATTTATTAGAGGCTCAGATTTATTGTTACTGAATGGTTGTGTGTTGACCTAGACTATACTCTGAAAGGATAGAACGCCAATTTCGATGGATTTAATATGTACCTGTGTATGTCGTTCCCCTGGTTTCACATGGATAACTGTTTAATGGTACTAATGAAAAAGAACGAAGGCATGAATAGTTGGCAATGAAGCATTGTAAAAGTGGACTGACACTAAGTGATTGGTTTCAACATTGAACTTTGCACAGAAGTGCAGCAGTTCGAGTTACCACACTCCATGCGGCACGCAAGGCGAGAGAAGAGAGTAAAGAGAAGTTCAAAATGGAGATATTACACGGAAGTGTGAGGGAAAATAAATAGTAATATGGAAGAACAAAAGAGTTTTATTGGAGAACGGTTACGTTGTGTTATCACCTATTATTTTATCTTACCACAATCTATTTATTTCTTAGACCTTATAAGATACAAATACCTTGAAAAGTCAACACCTTAATTGATGTGGCTGATGGCAGTAGCTCACACTGACTAATCCATTGAGTTTCAGTATAGAACTTTGGACAGAAGTGCAGCAGTTTAAGATCCCACAATCCATATAGCACACAAAGGTAGGGGGAAAAAATGCAAAGGCACTATAATGGGCAAGGAAGTAGTTTAAACAGCAAAAGTAGCATCCATGTTGTTTTTGTATGAAAAAGTATAGCATAAAACTTCGAGGCAGTTAGGTCACCGACATCAGTACTACCCTATACATGGAAATAACAAAACATGATACACATGCTGTGGCAACAGCAGAAAACAAATCTTTAAGGGTGTGAATGCAATGTAAACCATTTATGTCAACACTTTCAAACAAATTAGCGAAAAAAGTTGGAAACAATTATAGTAATTCCGTTGACTTCAAAAGTTTCGTACATATACACACTGACTGACTAATTTAAAGTATTTTTGATAACAGCTTTTACTAACACCACAGTTTGAAAAAAATACCGAATCAGACTAAGTCTGAAGAGTACTTCTCATTAGGTGACTCACTTGTAGGACCTGACAGACGCAATCTGCGACACAATCGCGAACGTCTGCTGATCTAAGCACAATAAATACAGGCCTAAGAATTTGAAAGCAACCACCAGATCAAGTATAAGCGGAGGTGAAATACAGAGGTTACCCTTCATCTTATTTCCCCTTGAAATTGCAAAATATGCATTCCATCTTGACATTATACATGACATTGGGATACTAAGTTAAAAGTCTGCATACTTCTGACTGACATGATGAGCAGTCGGAAAACACCCATACCAACGGACAATGTTGGTTAACCAGATAACAGTGGTCTAAACACCAGATGGTAATTGGTTTAAACCAAAAACAACAACACTGTGCTGACACTGACTTAACACAGCTATGCACGTTGACTTGTCATTCTGTGTATATATTGCTTTATTTAACATTCAGAAATGAGCCATTTTATTGCAAACACTTCATTCAGTTCAATGGTTTAGACAACTACTAGTGTCTCACTGAGGTTGTTTTTTTATTCCTTCACGTTCCCAGTGGAACATAGGGCTTCAAGCTGGAGGCTTGAAGTTTCTGTAGCAGTGTTTATTTTTACAGGATGAGGTTGCTAGCCTCATTCCCAACCTTTCCTCTTTATCAGCTTTATTTCTGGTTTAGCGAGGCAAAGGAGTGCGTCGGCCGGGGATCGAACCCCGGACCATGTGCATGGTCGGCGAATGTCCTAACCGCTGTGCCACCGACGCACCTCACTGAGGTTAGAAGCATGCAAAGTATTGGTATTGAATACGTTAGCATTGTAACTTTGGATAAGCATGTGGAAGAGAAGGATTCCCAATAAGAAATGCACCGCAGTCAATCCATTTCTGCAAATCTGACAATTAAATCATCGAGCTGTCATTTGTCCAGTGAACTTCGCTTAAATGAATACTACAGGATATATATGAATATCATAAAGCACCGACGAATGTTTCTGCAGAGCAATGAAAATACTTTTTTATAAACTACCAAATTCTATGAAGTGCCTATTAGGGAATACTTTCCAGACACAATATATTACTAAGGATCGATTGTGTGAATAACACAATAGTTAATAACAGAAATGTTCTCAAAACCATCTGGATTATTCTTATTAAGCGCATATAAGCACTTGAATGAAGCTGCATAATAAAAAAAAACGAGCAATGATAACGATTTGAATAATGTCAGACGCTTTATCACTATTTTCAGCAGGATCTATATGCTTTGGAGCGAAATTCATTTTGAATAGCCGGTTTGTATCCCACGGTAGTACAACTAGTTTTCAATTTTCAGTGATCAGTTAGCAACCAAAATCACATGACAGTGGCTTTTTGCTAACAACTAACTGTGATATAAAGGTATGGTGGCATCATGCACTTGAATCAGATGTCAGTAATCAATAGTGCTTTCAAACTGAATACAATGCATCTAAAACCCCACTGGCGATAAATGCATGTAATAATTATGGGATTTAGGCAAACATAGGGCAATCCAGTTAGGCCTATGAAATAACTGTGAAGGATCTAAATAATATGCACAAAGTGACAAGTTTGATAAACATAAACAACTTTGTTACTTAAACAAATAGAAACGTATCGACCAGGCAAAGTAGTCACTAATCATGTGTACTTTTCGTCAAAATGGTATAGATATGAAGGTCACACGATACAATATCACAAGCAATATCTATATCAATAAATGAGATGCTCCGAATTTCGTGCAGATCAGCTGGTCTCTATAGTTAGACAATTCATCTGTTTATCTCAAATTTGAGATATATATATATAAGTAGTTATCACTTAAGTCATATAATGTTAACAAATCACCGACACAGTATTTCGAGTTTTCAACAATAGCTGGCATATTAGCGCGAACAGGTAGACCTTAATGAAGCCTTGTCATCATATAGTAGAACCGACAGTCGACAGATCAAGTACAGAAGAGTTGCACGTTTGCGACCATTGCAGCGAGATTAACTTCCAGTGCTATGTTTGTGAAACAACTAGATGGGCTCAAATGAAATCAGTGACATGAAATTTATCATGATTAGTTTAAACTGTAAAACGTTAGTTGTCAAATAACTACTTATCTAGAAGTGTCTTAACGGAAGAAGTTTGAGCATACATACTCTAAACTCTACTCTACTTACCTTGCAGAAAATAATATTCTAGGTCACATTTGAATTCCAGTGACATCTGAGTACATTTCTCATATACATGAGACTATGGCTAGTCAGAAAATACACATATTACAAACGCGAAGGACCTTAACTACATCAACACACCTAGGTTACACTGTGCCAACATAAGTAACATAACATCGTATCCTTTTTAGACTTATCATCGGATTACTTCCAAAAAAAAACGTCAGCAACAAAACAATTCACTGCATTGAAATAACTTTTACTTAAACGTTACAAACAATTGGACTGACACCTGCTTATGAGCCTAATAGTGCGAATTTAAGGAAGATTTAATAACATTTACTGAAAAACAATAGTTTCAATCTGATCTCCTAAATATTTTGTTAAGAAAAAAAAGACATTTTCCTTTTCTTTTCCTTTGTTTTCTTCACCTTAATTTGTTGAGAATGAGAATCACCAAGTGTTTAACAAACAAACCGTCCGTTTCAACAAGCGAGATCTGACCATTTTTCCAATCAGAGAAAAGTATGTTGCATACGCAAAGGTATACACACACACACACTGACTGACTCACTCACGCACACGAATATACTGCACAGAATAAAGACAGAACACAAGACAAAAAATATACTGTCATTTCTTTGAGAGAAAAAAACCAAATCGAACAGTTTATTTTTCGTGCAAAAAAAAAGTGTTAATCGTATAATATGTATTCTTTTCTTGAGCAAACAAACAAAAATCTGATAGGATGGTATTGTATATGAGAGTGTGTTAATTGAGACAACAACAACAATAAAAAAAGGAAAAATCCTTGGACAGTTCAAAAAAATTTCTCAATTATAAAAAAAAGAAAGAAAACATGATTATTACTCTAGTAGGTAATATATAATATCAAAAAAAAAAAAAATTAAAGAATAAAATGAATGATAATGCAGTAGAGATGTGTGTAGCAAAAAGGGAGAGAGGGGAGGAGAGGAGAACAGAGATAAAATAGAAAATCGTCAGTGTAAAGCTCCATCAATACACAACCTAAGTGCATACAAACACACGTACGCGCACGCGCGCGTTCGCCCGCAACGATTAAAGAATAAGTGTAGTGTATTATAGTGTCAATTCATCATCAAATGAGAATAAGCAAACCGCTTCCATTTATCATTCGTTGACATTGAAAAAAAAAGGATGAAATTTGCACAAAACCAATATTGTTAGGTAACAGTAACAGAATCTCAGTGACAAAAGACATATATATATGTATATATGTCTTGCCAGTATAAATCATCATTGCTAACGAAATGGACTATAAATTATATGATATGTAGTGTAATTAAAACTTCCGCCTAAAAGAGAACAACACAACTTCAATGAATGAGTCTGAGAGAATATGGTTCATTCAATCAAGTGAAAGAAGAGAAGAAAAACAAGGACATATAGTGTATAGCATAGAATGTTTGACATGTTGTGCAGCAACAATAATCATAATCATAATATTAATAATAATAGTATTCATCTTCCACAAAGTCCAAGAGAAAGTTAGAGACAGAGAGAGAGTGGGGTGGTAGTGGGGGGGCGGGTGAAAGAGTAAAGAAGGAACAGCAATCGAAATCAAATCACATAGTGTCCAGTAAAAACACATTAACAAAAACACTTCATCATCTCAGATTCCAGTTAGGATATGTTGTTTTGTTTATTTTTATCTGGTTGAATTTTGATTTATTTTTTTTCCGTTCTTTCATTTCGGTCTACTAGCAAGAACTCCTGTTTGCCAAAGTATAATAATTACAATGACAAGCAGTAGACCACCAACGATACCGATAATAATAAATTTCATGCGTAAATTTTCCCACCAAGTCTTCCGTGCCACCTTTGTAGCTGTTGTCTGAAATTGATTAGCCTATAAAAAAGGTATGTACATGTAGATATATATACATACATAAATATGAAGAGATATGAAAGGAAATATAAACACTTACAGCTAATGGAAACTGATGTTATCCTCTTCTCCAACAAAGAGGAATAGAGTAGGAAAGAAAAGTATATATAACTGTTTCCTAGTGGTCAGTAGTACAGAACACTTATCCTATTGAGAACACGTCAAATGAGTGCACATATGTTACGTTATATGAAGAAAACAGAACACAATATCCATCAGTGTAAACTTCAGAGCTCCTGAACCACGGTAACTACCTCTCATGCAGCAGGTATGGCTTATCTTATTATTATTCTCCATGTGTACATTGTTCTTTTTTTCATTAGTTTGATACAACTAATCATTCCTTACTGGCATCTTAGTTGATTTTCATTGCGTCAATATTTATTTGACATTACTCAACAGAATCTATGCGCATCAAGAGCTGAAAAGGCATACTTCCTGAATGCCATTACTACTAATCAACATCACACAAGTGTAGCTAACTTCCTGATGAAAATCATGTAATATAACATGTATCAAGTCAGGTGAACCCAGCTGAAAAAGGATCAAAGCAGTAGCAATTACAAGTTCCAAGTGACAACTGTGAAAACTAATTAAGCATAGCTAACTTTGAACTGAACACATACATGCATAAATGCATTCTTATGACTAAGGTAGAACGCTGAAATTAGCAGGACTTGGGAAACGACAGATTCAAGAACAGAATAACAAGATTTCACATATAGATAAACTCCATCTACACGTTTTTACAACGTCCCGAGTAAAATATATATTGTGTAATTCTTTCAATATACATATCACTATCGGTTCAAATCAAGAACTGGATTTCCAGTCTTAAATTCTGAATCACTTATAATCAATTCGGCGATATTTTTTATCAAATGGACGATCTAACGTTCGAGTCTTTAGAGTACTTTGAGCACTTAAAATCTACCCTGGTTAACTGAGCATATGAACTTTTAAACAGAAAAATGTCATATAAATCGGCGGGAAAGATTAACGAATAAAAACGAATTATGATAATCCTCGTGAATATCTCAGGATGAATATAACTAACTGACAAGGAGGAGTTATATTACGAGAAGACCACGACTTCGACATGATGAGAGCGAATTCGCTAAGGTGGTAAGCGCAAAAGAGACGTCACAACACAACCTGATTGAAATATTTCATCGGATGAATACTAGACTCAGAGAGTTTAATGAAAAAGTGAGACATAATGGATCAATTACTGCTCGTAGATAAGACGTATCCAATGCTTTGCATCTAATTCCACATGTTTATTTCACATCACTATTTCATCTTCAAAATGTGTAAATGAAAGCAAGAGAAATCAACAGAACGCGAATTTGCATATTACTTCTTATGAGACACATTTGTATTCAACAAACTTCTTGTTTATTGTGAATATTTCAAATGTTTGTTGTTTTTAGAAATCAATTTTAGCTGGGACTGTTTGCTTCACGTACGCAAATGTTGACTGAAATGCCCATAAATTCAAGTAAACCAATGATGTGCACCCGATAAACATGTCTTAATTTGGTTGACATTAACTCAAAACGCATACTAAGAAACTTAAATGAGAAAGCTGGTTAATAAACACTTTAAAATGTTTAGAGAAAGAAGTTGTTTATGAGTTTGAAACTATAAATGCTGAGATAATTAATGAGAAATTGAAAATCAAATTGATAAGAGTTATCAGAACAGCATTTTACCTGCCAACACTGTGTTCAACTACGCATAGAGGTTGTTCCGTTGTCAACACATGTATAGAGAACAGAAAACTATCACTACAGGTAAATTATCCTGCTCCTGTGCAACTCGGGTGCTTGTGTCTTACCTTGTGATTACCGATGCCAACAACGTTGTTTATTATAATTCAATGAAGGTGAATATACAAGCTGACCAACAATTTCATTAAACAGCCTATCTGGTTGTGCAAATCGTAGTAGGAGATAACTTCTTAGTAGCCTATAAGATGCTGAATCCTTGGCTATACACGAGTTAAAACTGAAAGTCTATCTAGAAGTAACTTGTCTACGCATATCACATTTCAAATCGTAAATCTAAATATGCTTTATTTTGTATCTTTCAGCTTCCTGCAAAATACCTAACTTCCTAATTCCTCACTGATAACTATTTAACTATTTTTATTTAATTTGTTATGCATCACTAATTATAACCGAATTTAATTCACCTCACTTTTGTTTATTCATACTGTTGAACACTTGAATTCTTCTTTATATGCATGCATTTGTGGTTACAACTTACTATAAATAGCAATTTTAAAATTCTCCCTGATATAAAACACCACTAATATTCAAGCATAAGTTTACAGTTTTGAAAATCAACTTCGGTATTGGAGATTCCTTTGAAAACATTAATATCATCCAGCTCATCTGCCGACTATAGGTTCATTAACTAAACTATGAACAATACTCAAAATCTTAGTTTACAGTACACTATTCACGGTTGACAGAAAGTAGGTGAATGAAACAGGCTTTGAATACAGGATTCGTTACTTCAATAAAGGCATCTACCAGCAACAGGATGTATGTCTGAACAGATCTAATGAAGAGAATATAATACTATTTTGGAAATTAGCAATCGACTACCATAAGCAAATGTTTCTCTGCATATTACACCGAAAAATAATAATAATACATAGAGAAAATAAACGTGAAAACAGGTTTACACGGGAGTAAATAAAATTCTAAACAATAGCCTGACATATGACCCTGCAGTGAAGAAAATGGTTGCGAAGGAAAACAAAACGCGTTACCTTGGTATATCATTTAACGCAGAGAGAGAGAGAGAAATCGATTGAAAGGAAAACAATAAACAAGTTATATTACTACGTATAAATATTGTTTATTTACAATTTTACACTTTCTGTTTGGTATCATCCTTAAGAGAATTGATCACCAGATTCTGCCAGTATAGTAGCTACTTAGTCCTAAGTGTCTTAATTGAAATCTATCGACTGAGAATTAAAATTAAAGTTTCCTATCACTGTTTAGCTGTCATTAAGTGAAGTACACTTTTAGGAATTTAAAAAAGGATAAAAAATGGTAAGTTAAATTAGACTTGTGTCGAAGAGCAAAGTCAGACAGGACATAACAATTTCCACATTTAAATATTTCGGTGTTGATATCTCCTGAAAAGCTGACAGACAGATTTCGAACTTGTTTAAAGAACCAACATCACTGACATTTTAACTGTAACGAAGATTTCATGAGAACAGTTGTCAATTTGCAGAAATCTGGTTTATGCATCTGATTTCCGAACAATGAGTCACCGGTTCAGACCAACTCTAATTGCAGAGAGTTTAGAGAAGTAATGAGTAGTGCCGGTCCCAGCATGATAAGTGGACTACTCGTCACAAAATGAGTAAAACCTAGCCCAACAACCAGAATAAAATCAAATCAAACAGCTCAAAAAAAGATTGCAAGTACTCTATTATAACCTATTAGTCTCACCTACTGATGAGCATATGAAAAGGTTATAAACTTCTCAGTAGTTTATTTCTCCTCGCACTTAAATGTAATTGATGGAGAAATTACAGGCAATTGTTCACAGGATGAAAATAAATGAGTATGTAATATAGTATAAAGAGAATTTTAAAGCATAAAAAATAATAATAATAATAATAAACGGTTAATCGATAATCACGTACACATCCATAGACATTAGGGTGTTAACAGAAACTATTTTATGCAATGTTTACCGTGAAATGATAAATGGCCTGGAGTACAGTTTCAAACAATTATCTCTACAGCTAATCGATTGAGTACCGAGGTAACTAACTTACAACTCTACATATAATTATTGGTTAAATAACATTTTATAACGTCCAACACTTAACACGTAAAGTAGGCTTATAACCGGTGCATAAAATGAGAAACATCATACTGCAGTACGAGTTGTGTATATACTACAACTATATTCTGTTTTAACCAAATAAGCATGAGACTACACAAATTTATAGACAATCTGCTTGACTTTTCTGAATTAATGATGCGTAATTTTACCTGATTCTCACCTATTACATTGTGTTGAAATACACTCGTCTACACAGTATTGCTGATAGTATCAATTAAGCGGACGCACACACAGGAATCTTAGTTGAAATCTTGTTGCAGCTTTAGTATGTAATGTACCATAACTCCTGCAAATGTCAGATGGTTGGCGCACCTAGGATAAGACTTTGTGTTTATTGGCATTTCATCACGAAGGCGCATCTGCACCCTGAATGAGAAGAAAAGCATCTTAGCCATATCTATTCTAAGCCAAATCCAAGTGAACGGGGAAGGTCAGTCTCCTATTATTGGTGACCACATGATCAATAACATAAAGTCATCACTAGCGATTAGAAAGTACGACATTGGTTACACCCTAGTGATTCATTAATGTAACTTTCACTAATGAAAAAAGGTTTCAAAACGAACCCTAAGGACAGCGCCATGTCTGTAAAACTTGAATTAGGATGCTGATTAATGAAGTAACACTGGTTAATAGTTATTTCAGACAATTTCAGCAGAAATCCAAAGCTACTATTTTCCCAAGTAAGTATCACGCAAAGGCTGATTGTTCAATTTTTCCTTCTCATTTCTTCTTTTCCGCCATTTATTCCATTACGGAACGGTAAATACCTCAATCAATCATAATCATAATAATAATAATAATTCAATGACAATTACACAAAGTTCAGATGACAAATACGGATTAACAGCAACAGTGTATCCAAACCTTTTGTTGGTTGGATTTGTTTCACAGTTTCTCTCTCCATAAATAATTCCTTTAAATGTGTGGGATGATCATGAACTTCCCATACCATTATCTGGATTCTATCTTTCCAATAACGTCGAAAGGTGTGTTTTCCACTATTCAAGGGTTGCTTTAGATAAGACTGCTATGGAATGGTTTTCACTTGATCCTTGGTTTTGTGATAAAAGGCTACATACTGATCATTTAGAGACAGAAGTCCAGTTTGAAAATCTGCTTGTTCACAAGCTCAGAATTTAATACCGTCCCCCAAGTGTCACTTAGGGAGATTGAAGAGTATCGTTGTTGACTGTTGTTACCAGTACAATAATGCCAAGTTTGAAATGAAAATTAAGAGTTACTGCTAAAATAGGGATTTTCACTTTGTATTTAACAAGGAGTTTTACCGACAAGTAGATGGGACTGCTATGGTCCCCCCCCCCCTTAGGTCCCTTATTAACCAACAACTTAGCAAAATCAGAAGATGGTCCCCTGATGGAAATGTTGAACAAACTTGAATATTGTTGTCGTTATTTTGACGACGTGTTGATCGTTTGTGATAAGAACTTGAATAAGCAGCAACTGATGTTAGTCTTCAATAATGTGCAACCAGCAGTTAAATTAGGCGAAGTAGAACGGACAATAGTTCCATACACATACAGTATAAGTGAAATTTAATTCATTGTCTTAGTCATAGAATTAGACGCATTTGCACCGAAAATAGCATTGAAGAAGAAACTGAAAATCTTAAAAGTACCCTACTACAAAAATGATTATCCTACCAATTTTGTAAAGAAGTATATTTCTAACAGAAGTGATAAAATAAGGCGGAATACGGTGAGTAATTAAAAGCTTTATTTATGAGTGCAGTTCAAAAGCGATATGTCCAGTGATATATTACGCCATAGGTTGATCAGATCAATCGAAAGAACTTTCACTGCTGAAGAAATACACAACAGTACATTAAAGATAAATTACCAATGATGGCCACATCAATGCCTGTATACAAATTTAGCTACCCCTGAGGAGCTAGTTATATAAGTTGTAGTCGCAGGAATTCGTCTTTACGCAATCATGAACATGTTCCTGTTTGGCTGGGATAGGAATAACCCAGTTAATAAATAGTGCATTTTTATGTCAACTATTGGATGGTGAAACCTGCATCAAAATAGATGAGTCATTTGCGTTTGTGTGCCGGCAACCAAACAGTCTGCCTAAAGGCACACAATTACGTCTCCTACACGAAGTTGAAGCAATAGACAATGAAAGGAATTATTTTATTTTATTATTAACCAGATCTCTAAGCGTAAAAACAGTACACATCTTCTTTGTGTACCCTAGCCACCTGTAAGGTCAACAGGTACACAATCACCTAATAATTTCACTACGTTTGTTATCTGTCAGCTCTCGAACTTACTTACATTCAGGGTGCCTCATTTGTTTGTATGTATTTTGTGGTATTCATATTTCTCTTACAACACTGAATATAACTCACAACTCCACTCCAAAAGAAACTTATGTTAGCTATAAATAAATTAGTATGTCTCTCGACTGCCTTATTTGCACTTTATCCTATTTTCTGAATGAATTTACATCCCATATATATGCAACTGAAAATGTTAACTAACAGACTATTATTCCATCACACACATGTACACCAATACAGTTTTTTCATATAATTTTCATGTCCCTGAACAAAATTTTAGTATTACATTAGTCATGGATATGTAAAGAAGTTATAGAAAACAATTTTTCACAAAGAAATCATCTTGTTCTGATTAACACTACGATGATATTTTATTTACTGAAATAAAAGAATACTTACGTTGACTGCAAGTTCATCTGTTTTGGTAACCAAATTGTTTAACCGATCACCGCGTTGTAGTGCCAATCGAGTATTTTCCTGCATTACAGCTGTTACAGTATTTACATTACTGCGTAACTGATCTAATGAACCGTTTCCTTTGAATAAACCGAATCGGGACTATAATAAAGAATATTGAGATGTCATCTTGATGGCAATGAAATTAACATATTTCAACTGTCTAAAAATGACGACATATTTTAAATTTAGAATATACGAATTTACAAAGTAATGCTTTTATGTTTGGTTGAAAATCTTACCAAAGGAGTGTATAGACAAGTTGGTTGCACTACCATAGAGTTGAATATCTTACAAGAAACAAGCACAACATGTAGCAGTTCAATTATTTCCTACTGAACCTTCATATGCGAATCATTTTATCTTACCAATTGCTAGAAATATCACCTGTGATTGTTGACAAAAAAATTGAATCATTCGAATATTGAACTAGCCGGCGCAGCAGAAGAGTTGAATCGGTTAGCGGGGTTGGGAATTTGATGACAAATACAAAGGTAACACATTAGGTATGAGCAGAAAGTTTCCTGATGGTTGTATTACGAAACAGTTTTACTCTACGAAGCTTAGGAGGTGGTACAAAACTGTTTGACGAAGTGTTCACTTTTAGCACTTCAGCCGGCAGATATTCGAGGACGGCCGTCAAGTAGACGAAGGCTCCAGCACCAACGCGTTCAGTGTAGTTACCCTTGCTCAAAAGACGATGGACACGACTAACTGGGAACTGAAGACCAGCGCAAGACTTTCCACCTTTGCCGCGACCACTCATGATTGAACGTCAGAGCAGACAAACGTGTTAGCTGACACAGGATCAGGTTGAAAAAGAGCCAGTGGTGGTCGAACCAAAACATGGCCTTATCAGTCGATCAAATCCACAACAGTTAGTTTCAGCCAGCCACGTAGGGAAGTGTAGACTTCTTAGTTGGGGTACGCGGGATGGTAAAGCCAATGGCTGGAGACATTTGGTGATATGGATCAAAATCGCTCTCAATGGCGCAGATACATTCACTCTTTCTGATTTATATTTTCCAATAAAATTCTATTGTTCCTCCATATTACTATTCTTTTTGCCTCACATTTCTGTTTATTATCTCCCTTTAATGTCTCCTCTTGCTTTGTGTGTTACATGGAGTGTGGCAACTCGAACTGCTGTAGTTCTGTGCAAAGTTCTACGTTGAAATCAGCCAGTCGGTCGCATTTAGTACGACAGCAATGATATAACTCATAATCAACAGATGACGTGGGAATAAATCTTTTTGGTTCTCTTTGATCAATGAAATTTATCTGTCTTTTTGTGCTTATTATCTCAAATCTCTCTGAATTCACCCCCCCCCCCCGTAAGTTTTTCATTATTCATATTTAGACCAACATTTTATGGAATTTTTTATCCCCTTAACTTTTTTTTGGTATGTTGTTGGAACTCAAAAAATTACGCAGATTATTGACTGGACTTGGTATAATTATTGCTGTGTTTAGAACCTATCTATTCAACATGACTTTTGTCCATTAAGCTAAAACTCTGCAATAACTTTCGGAAAGTAAACATTTCTGTTCTACATTATATAAGTTTATTTGATATAACGCATAGCGATACAGCATTAATGGCTGGATGACGTTTTGAATACACTTTATTGCACATTATCACATCTTATTTCTTGATAAACAGAAAGGTGATTATATAATCTCTACTTAAGAATAAATACTCTCAAAATCCAATGTTTTGACGATACACATACAGTAATCCACAATTTATATTATCAAACACAATTCAGGTACGAGATATCCATCATGGTCATCGCCATCATGATGAGGACGCTTACAAAAATCGAACACACCAAGTAAGAAATCATTTGTCTTTAATTCACAAAATAAAATTATACAAAAATCGATAGATCGATTAAGTGAACTAGAAAATATTTAAAATAAAAACACATTTGTTTTTTAATATGCAGTAAGCGTACACTTAAAAGACTAAAACTTAGAAAAAGTGAGAACTAAAACAGTAATATGACTATTAAAATAATCTTCGAAAAAAGATCAACTTTTCTCATAGCTTCTTTCGAATAATATATATATATATATATATACATATACGACCTACAAAGGATTCAGAAATTCAAGACGATGCCGTTTAACGCTGACGACTATAAACTACTAATTACAGAAATGAAATCTCATACAAAGTTCAGTGGTTACAATAAATCGGTGTTAATACTAGAAACTGATTGAAGAGCACTTTGCAAAGATATGTTTCATAAATTAAGATGTTACATTCACTATATCTAAGGAATATGAATTATACGCATATTTTGCTACTGTGAACCCTACTTCCGACTGTTTCAACGTCTTGATAATGAACGGTATTAAGATAAGATGCGTAAACCTATAATCACGTATACAGTAAACTTTTAGACTACATACACATGCAGGAGTAACAATCGAAGCAGGGATAGGTTATAGGCTAATCTGGACCAGGACAAAACAAGACAGACTTCACAGTGCAGATCATTGTTGATATTTGCTGTGATAAAAAAAAATGTTTGCCCTATATGCTTAACGTTTCGAATCAAGATCAAAGATGTGAAGTGTCCTATAAAAGGCCAATGCTGGGGATAGGATATTTTAGTGGAAAAGTCTTCGATATCAAAGCTAACTAAGTTGACTTATAACCTTAAATGGAATGTCAATTTCCTCAACATTTTAGACTCATCCAGTTGTTGTGAGCAATGAAGAAAGCTGTCACAGACGACTTCCAGTTAATATACTCCTAAAGTTTAATACAAATCACAGTAAAGTGCAACGTTATTTTATTCAACTTAATTACTGTAATACAATTTTAATCGATACATTTTGAGAGACACAACAGTATTATCAACACAGTATGATTAATCTAATAAGTGGACTAAAATGAAACTGTATCATAGTACCCTACTCTTACTCTTATAACACAATTGCTGTATAAAATTTAACATATGAAGATTAATTTCATTCAGTAAGTAGACAAAACAGTATGAAATTGTACTTGCAAAGCTGCAAGAAATTAATTAACCATACAGTTGAAATGATAATGTGCAATATGTTATACTAAGTACCTGCACAATTTTGCCATAGCTTCAAACAAGGAAATCGTGAAAATTAAACCGTGAGACAAGTGATAAACGATGATTAGCTTTAATCATTCCACATTTACATTCACGACAAGTGTCAGCCAAAATATTAGGAAATATTCACGTTCAATGTTTTCCATCGTGATAATCAGAACACTACAATCAACCTCGTGCAGTCATGACTAAGATGTGTATTACGCATGCAGTACTAGTGCCTTTTTAGACGATTCATGTTAGCTGAAGTATAAGTATGTTGGAAGAGAGTTAAAGAAGTTCAGATGGAAATGTTACATAAGCTTATGACGGCAGCGACTACTCACTTATGCTTTTCTGGGCTGTGTGGAAATGGTGGCTCACTAAGTTCAGCACTCGCCCTCCAGTGTTTACCAGTATTTAGTGGCAATCATTGATATAAGAAGAGAACTTGGGCACTGGTAGACATGTCTGTCTGGATTCAACATAGAACTTGGCACCGAAGTGCAGCAGTTCGAGTTGCCACGTTCCAAATAGCACACAAAGGTAGACAAGAAGTTGAATGAAGAGAATCAATAGAGTTTTGACAAGTATAAGAGTGAAATAGAATGAGTAATGGTAGAAAGGAATATGAAAGATTACAGAGACTGAATACATCTGCGCCATTGACAACGATTTTGAGCCATGTCACCTATTGTCTCCAACCATAGGTGACATGGCTCAAAATCGTTGTCAATGGTAGACATGAGTAAATATTACGGCATAACAGTGTGAGACTTTATCAAAATAAAGTTTCTCCATAATGGAATTTAGTGGCAATCAATGTAAAGAAAAAACCATATTTTTTAAACTTAAATCCACAATTTACGTGAGATTAGGGTGCTATTCGCAAATGTGAAGACAGTTGATTAAAGATGACGAAAAACGAGCAACTGTACACAAAGTTCACATTACGCAGACGATATATATATATACATATATGAGAGGGTTAAAACGACACTATAACTGGGAACAATCGATTGCCTTGATATCATTTTTACCATTATAAGTATTTGATATCACCATCAAGATGCCTGTGAGAGTGTAGTATGAAATGCTAAAAGAGAAACTATCTCATTGATTAGAAACAATCTATTGCTAGACATAGTCTCATTATATATTCATCTGATCAAACAGTTAAAACAACTTCTGCAACCACATCTCAAATCTACACAAGATATATACTTCCTCCTTTATCACTAGTCATATATCTGCATGGAGTGGGTGAGCAGTACTTAGGAGCAACCAGACTGATCTCTGCTACCTTTTAACTTGTTCGAAACCAATGCTACCTCAGTCGCTTATTCACCAGAAACAATTACCTTTGGGTGATACAAAATAGTGAATCAAATTGCGGGAGATTGTGTAACTATTGTCTAGGACGAGTGCCCAGGTAGACGTACGATAATACGCCTGGTGTATCTGCGTACCGCCTAGTCACATTTTACCTCAACCCATGAGAGTCACTACAGTGTGAATACCGGTTGTCAAGAAAGAAACAATACGAATATAAGTAAAAGTTAATTTATGATATTTTACATTTTCAACTACCACTACTTATTTTTTGACATATTTAGATTTCTTAATAAACCAAAACTAGAAGGTACAAGTTTTTCCACAAACTTTGAGACTCTAGTTTTGTAGTTAATATAAGCTACGTAAAAAGAATTTAGGTATTCGATCATTCTTCTTTCTGATTTATGTTTTATACTGGTGGAAACACTGGGTAATCAAACCAAGCATCGAACTCACGATTTCAGACAGCACGAAAATTAAGCTACATGAAGTTAGTCATCGAATGTCTTAACTATTTTACTTGTGTGAACAGTTGCTCTGGCTCTAATGAACCGATTGTCAGTAAAACCTCAGTATGAATCTACAAAACTTGGCAGAACTAAGATAATTAACTGCGTGGTGATGCATTCAGATTAAAAGTTAGCAGGGATTCTAGTAGGCTCCTGATTATTATTCATAGCCTTGCAGATAATACTGACCAGCAGGTTTGAGCCTGTGTTGTTGTTACTACATGACAAGAAACAGAATCGATGACACCTTTATTAACTTTCAGGTTTCAGATATTCCTTATTCACCTTTAACTATTATTCCTATTCTTATATCCTTTTAGTTTAACATCTTATTGGTTTACATTCTTTGTGTTGAATTAAAGTAACGCACTTCTTCACAAGGTGTTTCCTGATTATCTGTTCCCCTAAAGTAACAGTCTACGTTAGACAAATGGTTCAAATAAAATAAAAGAGAAAGCATGTCGTCAGTGGTGTGGCAACTTGCGCTGCTAGGCAATACTGAAAAGTCGTATATTGACAATGCCCGGCTGTTACGTGGGTGAATAACGGCTTCAAAAAGAATTTTTTGAGGGTAAAATGGACTTATTTTACCAGTCAAATAATAGATTAAATCGCAAAATAACCACAATGTAGCAGGAAGACTTACCATGTATTGTTGCAGGGTTGGGCCATAAGAGTATTGTAAGCATCCTTCAGGACCACTTTTAGCCTTCTGGAGTCTCGTGCCATCACTGCAGAAATCTTGCGAAATCTGAAAAATAAGTACCGTGCTGTCAAGAAACAGTAGAAAAAATGTTTACCAACCTCTTATGATTTTATTCAGACATTATCGATGCTGAGTTAAGACTATGACTTACCACTCCGATTTGGATAGGTTTATACCACAGGAAAAATGTCATCAGTGACATCATACAGGGTAAGACAACTAGACTGACTTGAGGACATCTTCATCAGCTCTTCTGGACCATTAACTTAACACAGAACACTAATATCACTTAATCTTGAACATATTGAAACATTAGATAAAACGTTATCAAGCACTAGCCTTAAAAGTACTAAACATATTGAAGTTTGACAGTGACTTAGAACGTTGATAACTGCTACTCTTACAGGGACTTATTCTGAATGTCGACCGGTGTACATTTATAAAATGTTGGAAGTAGAATCCATATAGTAAAAAAATATTCAATTCGATACATGTAAACTGAACTGAATTTTCAATAAAAATCAATCAATGCAAGCAGTATAAAATCCTAGTATTCTAATATCGACCCAAGCGGCTGCAATCAAGATAATGAAACAAGAATTACAAAAAGAAAACTAATAAGCGCTAAAATTCTTAATTCTTCACATAAACCGTGAGTGTCACAATAATTCTTTTTAATAATTCAATGATGGGCACACCGTATTAAGCCATACATTGTCGACTGTGAAACACATTACTACTTAAAATAGCTTGCTACAGTTTATTCTAACCTTTCAACGCAGCACAGTGTCGGAGAATATTACATTTTTAAATGCATGAATGTTTCTCAATGGCCACATACAAGTTTAACTGACCTGAAGTCGGCGTTTAATAAGTCAACAGGTCTAATAGTATACCTAATTAGCCAGTCACTGATTTGGTTTCAACATAGGACTTAGCAGCAGTTCAAGTCGGCATACTCTATGTAGTACACGAAGGTAGAGAAAGGGGATAAAAACTAGGTTCAAAAGAACTGTAATGGGTAGGAATGTACAGCAGAAACAATAGCAACATGGAAGAAAATGAGGATCTAATGGATATGGGAGGTCACATGAAGTTAACGTGCCACGGAAAACGACTTGGAGCCATAAGACCAACAGTCTCCAACTATTGGTTCTTAGCATCCTGAGGATCCCAACGAAATAGTCTACACCGTCCTACGTTAGCAAGTTACTGCTTTGCATCGACGAGCTTTACATAAAAACCCCGCTTCACCTAGTGCGACCCTAACAATCATATAGTGTTTCAGTAATATCCGAGGGGTGGGGAACAATGATTAAGGATGTCAACGAACGTAAACCACTTTATAACTTTGTGAGTTTTTGGTAAACAGGTCATCCGATACTGATAGAATGATTGTTTCTGCTACTATCACAAAACCTGTATTACGACAGGCCTGAATAGCATAATCCGATTCCATCTTACGGAAGTGGCCACATTTGATGTAAATGGCTGGTGACATCAACGCGTATATCTCTTAGGGAATTAAACTAACTGGCCTGAATACTCAGCTTCCTGCCAATGGGATACGAGTTGGAGTCTCACTTCACCCACTTCAGCCTGTGCGACTGGGAAGTATTATCAACCCCTACACGATGTGTGGCTCATCCCGGTACATGGAAAATCTGTGCCAGGTAATTGAGTTTGTTTGAGAGGACTTTTTACTAAGCGATGTTCCATCTAATTTTACTTACACATAAAAGAGTTTGGTTAAGCGAGGATACTAAAAGTACGCAGTTTTTCTTGTCTGAAGCAACATTAATCTGTTCAAAGTATATGAGGAAAGAAACAGCAGTGGAACTGCATTTCCACGAAACATCACATCGAAACAGTACTGCCGGAAGCCCCCAGAACAATGACATGAATTAAACGAAATGGATAAGGTGTAAGCTTATTTTATTATTTTTTTAATTTTATTTTGATTTACAGCTTGATTCCACACCGTATTTTCAGTACAAGTGTGGAATTTTCAGCATGGATATCGGTAGCCCGAATTCAGGCCGACCATAGATATCGGGTGTGCGCCGGCAGGGGATCGAACCCCGGACCATATGCATGGTCGGCGAGAGTCCTAACCACTGTGCCACCGACGCACATAATGCTTTGAAAGCATCACAGAAAATTAAGTGAATGATGAGAAGTGTAACAATTCAGTGCGTTGACCACTTATTTGAAAATTTACACCAAATGCACTAGACCAGTTGTTGAAGTGAGTTTTAGAAAACATGTCGTAGACATGCCCCATAACATTGTTGAGACTTTCTAACCACAATTTCGTATCTTCTAGATTTTTTGACTGGACTACTGATTACAGATAATATAAAATAGTGTTTGCAGATACGGACAACCAGGAATGTCCGTCAAACACAACATAAATATGACAGGTAACGTTAGGTTTAATTACGAAAAAGTAAGGGTACACAGACCAATGTCAATCATTTAGGTTTCTTCTATTCTGAGCTAATGATGAAAGATGGACTAAAACTCAAACATACCACGAATTATAGGTATCTCCTGCGATTCGGAAAGTAAGTGAAGATTAATGAGTGCGTGTTAACAAGTGAATCTAAAAGAGAAGCTGATGTTCGATAATAGGTAACAATTTCCTTAGGATTTTTCAGTTTCAATCAATTAAAAAGTGATATCTGCAGAAACTCCAATACTGGACCACCCACCCAGTGCTCGGATTTTGAATCAGTAAATTACATGTAAAGTCTATATTCAGAACTTAAGTCTGCATAAAAGAAAATCTTTGTGGTAGCATATTATGGACAGGAAATTTAACAGATACATGCACATATTTACGCTGTTTATTCCCACGTCGATATAAAAGGCATGAAAGTCTAAATAGATCCTCTCTAATATAGGGATTTTAGCCACTGTGACAGAAACATACAGTGTTAAAATAAGAAATGGACAAAATTACACAAGAATTATTAAGTGGACTGACCTCAACAACCAAGTTGCGTGATTGTTGTCGTGAGGCGATTTGATCAGTTGCAGCGATAAACGAAAGACCTGAGACAGTAATGCAATGGAATGATACGCTGCAAAATTAAAAATCTCGAAAGACTTACTCGCCTTGGCTAAAACATATATCTTGTTCAGGAGGATTTCTTCCTAAGTAATCACGAACCACATTTTCAAAGTTCCTATTAGCTATTGAATGGTGGCAAAGAATGCTCTTTTCGTTGGAAATCGCACAGTAATACAGGCTCATATTGTGTATATGAAAGGTTAGTAGAATCCACACATTTCAAAGTGCGCTGTCAGGATACGGCGCGCAGACGGATTTCGGGAACCAATTGATACACCATAACAACAACCAACATTCAATAAAATCGATAACAATTGACTGCTTGTGAAGAATTCACCAGCCTTTCTCGATGGGAAAACTAATTTTGAAGATATAATTAGATACTCTGCTGAGGTTATTCTTACAGGCGACGTCTAGAAAACTCTACACTACATACTATTTGAAATAATTAGTTCCACGATTTTCCTAAATATTTTAGTTTCGTTGAACTGTTGGATTTCAACCAGGATTTCGGCCAATATTTGGTCGACTGCAGGGTTTTAAAACATTTCACATGGCAGAAATCTAACACATATCTTCCCTCCCATCTACACAAACCTAAAATTATGAATAGTGTTTTGTCCTATAAAAGTATTATGCTTATTTCTAACTTCCAACACAAACGGAAATTTGAGGTCCATTTATAATACTTCATCAAAAAAATGGTACAATACCAGAACATCTGTATGGTAAAATCTATTCTCTCAAAATTCATGAGTGAAAACGACTGCTTGTGTTTGTTTTTAACAATATATTAAGGCTAAACAAGTTTCTTCAGCTATGAATAGCTTACGAAAACTGAGGGTTTATTTACTTCCGTTTCTGTTATTCTTGGTAATTGGTAAGTTTCAATTGATTTAGAAAGTGCAAACACCCAAAAATAACGCTGAAAATCGACTAATGTCCTTGCGGCTGTCCTCAAAAGGAATGGTGGATGGTATAAAAGTAATTTTAGCATTGGTGAATTATAAGTTGCCATGTTTTATTTGATCCAAGTTGACATATTCTGCCTAAAAAAATATCGTTTGATCATTTCCAAACTCATTTCTTGGGTTTTTCATTGGCATGACAGGGAGATTCAGTGACGTCTCTGAGTGCTGATATGACGTGGGAAACTCGAGGAAACAAATGAATATTTTGTACCAGTGATGTTTAAGTTAGAAAAAATAAAACCAGGACGCTATATGTTCAGAATAAGTATTCATGTATTTATGGCTCGTGTAAATATAAATTATCCAATATCCAATATCTTTTTACGAGCTTGTATAAACCAATTTGATTTCTTTGCGCTCGCCTCTTGATTGTGAGGTAGAGGTTCCTGATCTTTGGTAAACGTCTGTGTAGCTCGTCCCGCCACTCGACTGTCGTAGCTTCGGTTGACTCCAACAGGAGTAGTGCTGGGATTAATTATATGGCGTCTGTAGTATGAAGTTTGTTAAGACTGTTACTACTGTGAATGGAGTTGATCCTTTCACCAGTTAGTCTTTCGGTATCGTCGTCAATGGAAAAGAGATAATAATAGTAATAATAATAATAATAGATATAATTAGTAAAGGTATTCAGACTAACAGACAGAGAAAAAATAAGAAAACGTAACAACAGTCATTCAACCGGTATATATATATATACCAGTAATAATGATAATAATAATAATAATAATAATAATAATAATAATAATAATAAGTGTAGTTAAAGCTGTCAGAAGAGTAAGACTGAAGGGAATGTGAAGAAGTAAAACGACCAGTTTAATTGTCTACCTTTGAATGGTATATGCGATTTTAAGGGGATAGGCCATTTGGATACAGTCCTTGTGTCACTGCAAGGTTGTCCAGCCTTCGCTTAAAGGCGTCCACAGATGGTGCCATAGCTACATCTGCCGGTAAGGAATTCCAGGGACGGCAAACCCGCAGGGAAAAGAAGTGGGAGCGCACCCTGGTCCTTGCCCAGTCTTCCAGAAGCCTTAGATCTGCCTGCAGCCTATCTGAGTCCTCCGGACACTTTACCGCCCTCCATATCTTTACGTCATCAGCGTATAGAAGAGTCGGGCAGTTTAGACGGCATGGTAAATCATTGATAAAAATCAAGAACATCAATGGTCCCAGGATAGAACCCTGCGACACTCCTGATGACGAGCTGTGCCAAGATGATCGGACTCGACTGACCTTGGTGCAAAATTGCCTTTCAGTTAGGTAGTCCTTCAACCATGACAGAAGTGGTTTACCTAGACCTACCTGGCTTATTTTGTGTAGGAGAAGGTCATGGTGAACAGTGTCAAATGCCTTCTCAAAGTCTAGAAAGATCACATGGACAGGAACATTCATATCCCAGCATGATGTCCAATCGTCCCAAGCTGATAATAAGTTAGTGACGCAGGATCGCCCTTTCCTGAAACCGTGTTGGGCTTCATGGAGTATTTTAGACCTATCCAGATATTCCCTGATGTGATCATCAATAATACTTTCCAGTACTTTCGATACCACTGGGAGTAGAGCTACTGGTCTATAACTGGTGGGATTTTGCCTATCCCCACCCTTGAAAATCGGAGAAAGGATGCTTCTTTTCCATTCCTTTGGCAGTTTCCCCGATTCCATGGAGTGTTGGAACAAGTCACATAAAGGCCTACAGAGAGCTTCGGCGCACTTTTTCAGAACAGATGGCCTGATGTCATCACAACCTGGGGACTTCCCAGGTATGAGTCGCTGCAGCTTTCTCAGTACTATTGCAGGGTTTATTTGAGGTGTGGCTATTTGGTCTTCCTCCTGTGAAATAGTCATGCCACCATTTTGGTTCGTAACGGTAATACCCACATTGCTGTTTAGCTGTTTGGCGAAGGCTAAACTGAATGTTTCAGCCATCTCCAGACTAGTGAGATATTGACCGTTTTGGCCTACTAAGGCGCAAGCCCCTTGGTTGGTTGGTTTCCTTTCCGACATGAATCGGTACAAATTCTTCGGGTTTGCCAGGAGTTTTTTAGCAAGGTTAGCCTGGAATGACCTTCTGTCCCTCCTGACTCTTGCATTGCACCGGTTCCTGAGTTCCAGGTATGCATCATGGTCGATCTGGCTTCTAGATACGCGCCACGTAAACCAAGCCTTCCTCTTTGCTTGCAGAATACGCTGCGTGCCTCTTTTTAACCATGATGATTTTCTTTTTGGCTGTGCTGTGACTAAAGGGACGGTATCCGAGATCGCTGTATGAATAATCTTTTTTACCGCTTCCCAGTGTTCATCCACAGACAGCTCATCCCATGCTAAGGGCCAGTCTGCATCAAACAAGAGCCTCCGCATTTCAGCGTAGTCAGCCTTGCTGTAACACAGACATGGTTGCGTAGCGTCCCACTGCAAGTGCTCACGGAGAACGAGGTCGAAACCTATGACTGCATGGTCACTACTTCCTAGAGGAGTCATGACCTGGACCTTTTCGACGAGTAGTTGGTCACTATACTTTTTGTTTACTAATACAAATGTTGAAGGTATTACCATACCAACAGCAGCGGTTCCTACAAGTATTTGTTTATACGGTGGAAAATGCCAGTGGTGATTAGCACTTAAAGAATGGTTTGCAAATAGGCAGTACTTTATTACTGAAGGCTCATCATTTTGAATGGAGGATAAATGTACGATACAGTAAATAAAACAACTGCGGTCGCATTTCCTATTCAGCGTGCTGAATTTCATTAGTGTCGCCTATTCAGCAAAGGTCATATAAGAAAAAAATAACTTCTCAATGAATTATTTTAACATCGAAACTACTGTTCCTCGTTAGGTAATTGTTATGTCCTGCTTCCATCCAACTGAGAATAAGCAAATGACAATATGAAGCCCGGTACTCAGAAAATCAGTGTCATCATGTCATGACTGAATTTTAACTGACCTTTCAAATGTTTAAGTAACAAGAAATCATATATGTCCAAACTAAGTTCACTTTTAACGGTTTGAAAAAATTTGGGCATCGGGTATATGATATTCATTATAATAAAGGTTTTTGTATTTCCCAATGAATGAAAAACAAAACGATATTGTTTTTACTGACGTTTCGCTATTTAATGCTAATAGCTTTATCAAAGTATTATTAAACCGGAATTTACAAAATCTCACCATATATATAACAAACAGTTAGGGGGTGAGAAAATAGACATAGGTCAAGTTAAAGGGACATATTGAAAGTAAAAATAGCGATGAAGATAACTAAACCAAATAACAAAGGTAATAGTATGTCTGTTATGGTATCGAAATAAATTTTACTAACTTGATCGTCGTTCGTCTGTTTGGGGGCATTTTTAGTTGTCAAGTTGGTGAATTGGTAAAGATAACAAAACCATCATGTGTAGATTGTTAGATTTGATAAGTGTATAAGATTATAAATCAGTTTTGTAATCTTTTCTTGAGCATACATGCGTGGCATTTGAGGTCATCATTTCGGTTTGTAAATTCAAGCTGAATAAATGAGTCTGTTGCAGTCATATATATATGTTATGCTAATGTCAGTAATGATAATTTCTTCACATAAACAGATTAATTTACATGAAAAGTACACCATTTTTCCTGGAGCAAACAACGGTGTTATAAAATATCGGCTAACTGTTATTATTTTGACGGTTTAAATTGTTCATTTACGATATAATCTATCAGAACGTGATCATGTGAATGTTTACTGTTGGGACTTCCTCAAGATAGAGGGGAAACCCTAATTTCCTTCCGCCTCCTACTAACGGCTGTATTTAGTCCACGAGCAACCAATATTTCGGCCAGTCCTACATACGCTTGTGACTGAAATGTATTTCAGAGAGATAAAAATGCTTTCACTAAGCACACCAGCTGGTGGTACGTTCCAAATAACTGAAAAAATATTTAAGAAGTTATCCTGCGTATAAGTCTGACAATACACAATATGAACCAGGATGTCATGATTTCTGAGATTGTAACTGATTCCAGAGTTGAAATTTGTCACAAGCGAACCAAGACCAGTCAACTTGTAGTAAAAAAGTAGGATTTGGTTTGAGTCATCTTCTTTGGAGTGGTTCTATCTTCAGTTTATCCCAACGCTCAGCTTAGTCGAGACCACTTTCTGAGCCAAGAGCTCTTAAAGTAGGTTCTCTCTGCACCCACTGTAATTTAAGCTCGTCATTAACTTGGAGTCCACTG